GGCCAGACCAGGGGCCCGGGACATGAGCGCAACTTTCCAAGCTTCTCTTCCAGGCCCCTGTGGTTGGGGAGCTCCACAGAGGGAGAGATGAGTCAGCAGCCTGCAGAGCAGTGGGGGCCTGGGTGGGGGTGGGGATGCCAGGGTTCCCCAGGGCCAGGGAGTTTGCTGGGGCCATCTGGGTTTGAACTCTGGTGGGTATGGAGAGTAAAGAATCAAAGGTACCCAAATGTACACTGGAGGTTCCTACGCTAGTAAGAGTTGGAGATAGCAATTTATAGGACTGGCAGTGGCCGCCATTTGACCCTTATTCCAAGATTCTTATAGGGAGAGGGGTTCCTAGGTGCCCTCTAGGAAACCTTGGGAATCTCCAGAGCTGTAAAGTTGTGATGATAGCCTTGTGTGTATGTATATGACATTTGCTGTAGATATGTGTATTGATGTGAGTCTGTGTGAATCTATGTGGGGAGTATTGTAGGTCACTATGAGTCTGTATGCATGTATACATACTGGTGTGTGCCTTTTTTTTTTTTTTTAAGACAGTGTCTTACTGTGTTGCTCGGGCTAGAGTGCCGTGGCGTTAGCCTAGCTCACAGCAAGCTCCAACTCCTGTGCTCAAGCAATCCTTCTGCCTCAGCCTCCCAAGTAAGTAGCTGGGACTACTGGCATGGGCCACCATGCCCGGCTAATTTTTTCTATATATTTTTAGTTGTCCAGCTAATTTCTTTCTATTTTTAGTAGAGACGGAGGTCTTGCTCTTGCTCAGGCTGGTCTCGAACGCCTGAGCTCAAACGATCCTCCCGCCTCGGCCTCCCAAAGTGCTAGGATTACAGGCATGAGCCACCGCACCCGGCCTGGTGTGTGCCTTTATATGATTGGGGGTTAGGGTGTCTTGGGGTTAGCCTTATCTGTATAGTGTATGTATATATCAGTGTGTGTCAATGTGGGTGCCTGCACAGTACATACATGTGTATGAATTATGTTATCCAGCTTGTGTGCAAGTGTGTGTATCTGAATGTGTATCACACATCAGGTATATATTAGAGTATGTGTCAGTCTCTGTATTTCAGGGGCTTTACTTGCTACTCACTGGTGATTCTCTCTGCGATAGTCAATAGTCGATAGTCAAACCTTCTATAACGGCAACAATGAAGGATTAGGAGTCCCTTTGAATTAGGACTCTGAGAGAGCCCAGCCTAGAAGCGTGTGTAGAGGGCAGTGTGTGGAAGGAAGTATCCTCCCTCAGAAGTAGGGGGTAGAGGTCTCCCATTCTCCCCGGTTTTTACCCTTTTTTCACCCCCACTGATCTTTCCAAAAAGATCCAAAATCACTAGAGAGAACTGAGACAGGTTCCAGATTTAACCCCGTCCAACCTAGAAAGCCCACCCTGATTCTCCCAAGGGAGGGAGGGAAGGGAGGAGTCCCTGTGGTTCAGCTCGGTCCTGGCATTGGGAGATCAGAAAGGCACCATCCCACCCCTTGCTTCAGGGGCATCCATCTCTAGGAGCTCAGTGTCTGGGTGGCCATGGGTGGAGGCTGAGGGGCCCCCAGGGTGGGGGGTGGTGGATAGAAACCAGATGCCTAGGGGGTTTATACTGGAAGGACCAGAGCCACAGCCTCTACCCGCCCCTGCCACATGGCGCCTCTGCCTGGGCTGCCCCACCCCCTCGGAGGCTGGGCTGAGGGAGGCCTGCGAGGGTGGAGGTAGATCCTTGGTCAGGCTTCCAGTTGCTGCCCCCAACCCATGAGGGCACTGGGAAGGGGCTGAGGAGCTGGACTTGGGAATGCCAGGGCCTCAGCTGGGCTGCAGGACTATCTTTAAAAAGGGTGGGGAAGAAGGCAGAACCCAGGGTCCTGAGGGCAGCCCCTCTGCCTGTCTTTGGTACAGACCTCTGGTGGGGGGTGGGGCTCTGTGTCTGGGGGCCATCCTACTGGGGCTGATACCTGGGGGAATTGGGGGGCTGGCCCACAAAACCTTTTAGGATGCTGTTTGTCCTTTTTCCTTCCCTAGGACTCTTTGGACCCGAGTACTTTTGCCCCTGCCCAGGTAGGATTAGGAATTAAAGCCCACAAGGGGAGTAAAGAAGGTTGACCCTTCCCCTCAATTCCTCACCCCAATCCTGTCCCTCCTTTCATTTTTTCATCCTTCCTATTTTTCCTTTTCGGTCAATTTTCCCTTTTTTCCCCAATTTAGTTTGAGCCCCAACCCCCTCCTCACCTGTTCTTTCCTAGAGTCTAGACTTTTCTCCTCTGCCTCAGTTTCCTGCCTGATCTAATTCATCTTGGGCTTTTCTGCTGGGCAATACAGAAATTTTTGTAAAGCCTCCCCTCCTTCCTTGCAGCTTCTGAGTTGGGGGCCTCAGTAATCCATGTGGCACCTCAGGCTCAGACTCCTCCGCACCAGGGGGAGACTACGAGGTCACAGGGACACCCCACCACGGGCACTTCCTTTTGGGCAGACGGGTGGGGTGGCCCGTGTAATCATCGGACACAATTATGTGCTATTTATACTCCATCCCCGCCCCCCACCTGCCTGGCCGATTAACCCTGCACCTCCTCCAGACCTGGCCATGCCTCAGGCTATTTTCCCTGTCCTTCAAAGCCATTGTCTCCCCATCTTTGTTCCTCTGGGCCAGTTTCTTTACTTTTTCAATTTTTTCCTGCTCTCTTTGGTTTTTTGTTTGTTTTTTTTTTAAAGCCACACCTCTGGTCTTGTATTTTCTTCTTCCTTGTCTCTTTCTTAAACCTATAAAGTCTCTTCTGATTCTTCTGGGCTGTTCCATCTGCTCTGTGCATCTCCTGGTCATTCTGTGTTGGTTCTTTCCCTTTGTCTACCAGCCACTTGGTTCCCTGATCTGTTCCCCAAAAGTTGGGCTCACAGGGTTCCTTGGGGGAAATCAAATCAAGGGCTGGAATCTGGGACTCCTGGGTCCTACCTTGACATTTGCTCCTGCCTGCTGGTTAAACTGCTATGTAATCCTCCCTGGACCTACTCCTGCCCTTTCAGCTCCCAATCTTTTCACTGGAGGGCTGGGAGAGCAAAACGAGCAATGAGGTGGGCACTCAGGAAGAGAAAGTGAGGGGCCTGTGTTTGGGAGTCAGGAGGGTGGAAAGGACAGGGCTTTATTCCTCTGATGGGCAGAGCTGGGAGGGGAGAGGTAGGTGCTGGGGAATAACTTGCAAAATAACCCCTGAAGGCTGGGCCCCTCTGTGGGCCACTTGGTAGCTTAGGCCTCTCTCTCCCATCAGCTTACCCTGGGGCCCAGGTTTCAGTTAATTGACTTTTTGGGCTTCCCTCTCCCAACCTGGTTGACATTCTTTCTCTTCTTTCCCATTGTGATGGGAAGTCAAAGTTGGGAAGTCCTTATTCAGCTCTAACTTCAATTCTTTCTGCTGCAGAAGGAATTGATGCATGGCAATGAGAAAGGGAACCAGGAGCTCACCGGAAAGTATGATCACTCATGAGAAGAACTATCTATCAAAGGATGGAGATGAATCTCGTGGCCAAGAGGGGCCATGGGATGATAACTGGCAAGGAATGATGGAGGCTAGGGCATTTCTTTTTGGGGGGGTTAATCCAAAGGAGCTAGGTGTAGACATGGATGAGTTGATCTATCCATGAAGTTGACCTTTCAACCCCTACCCTCACTCCTACCTGCCTTAATTTTTCTGAACATTGGAAGATCCGTGTTCTGCCCCACAAAGTGAAGTGGACTAGGTATCACTTCCAAGCAGTGAAACTGAGGCGTTGGAAGGAAGACTGAGGGACCCCCAAGCCTATGTCAAGCCCTCCCCCATTCTCCACCCCTTTCTCCAGGCCTTGCTCTGGAATCTACCTCAGTGACTCTAAAAGTTTAGGCAGCAGAAGCCTCCATCCCAGAGCACACCCTCCCTCCCTCCCCACACAACACACACACACACACACACACACACACACACACACACACACACACGCACGCACTGCTCTCCCGATCTGGAAGTGGGTGGGTGATTGGAGAAGCAAGCATCTCCATGGTCAGCTAGGGGTGTGTGTGTGGTGTGTATGCTGCCAGTGTGTTACCATGTTCATTTGTGTGTGTTTGTCTCTGTTCATTCATGACAGTGGCTGCACCCGTGTGAGTAGTGCTGTGTGTGTGTGCGTGTGCATGCATCATCCCTGTATTTGTCCATGAATGTGTATGTCAGTGTGTTCCAGTCTCTCTGTGTGAGTGTCGTCCCCAGCCCCCCATCCCCCCCCGGATCTCTAATTAGTGGTTTGGGGTTTGTTCCTTTTCCCTCCTGTTCCTTCCCTCAGCAGCAGCGGCGGCAGCAGCCTCAGCAGCAGCAGTGGCAGAAGCAGCAGCGCCAGAGCAGCAGCAAGGATTCTGGAGTCAGAGTAGGATTGTAGGATCAGAGCCTGAGTGGCAAGAGGAGCAGAGCTGGCCTGGGAGAGGAGTGGATCCCTCCCAGCACCCTCAGGCCACCCGTTGCCTGCACTCTCCCTGCCAGACCTCCAGAGAGGAGAGACCCGGGACAGCCAGCCCCAGGTTCCCCCAGGTACATGATACTGGGGAGCTCTGGGAGGGGTGCCCACAGACGCCTATGGGATTGCTGTGGTGTCTAGGACACCTGGGTCCACCATCCCTTTAACCTTTCCCCTCAGCAGCTCCCATGGAAGCCCTGACAACTTGCCCATGTTCCTATCTCCCCTTCCTGCTTCCCACCCCTTCCCTGGGCACCCCTTTTTCTCCTCTCCCTCCCAGATCCCTTCTTTGGGAAGCTCAGCAAATGGAGCAGGAAATTTGGACCCTCTGCCTCCCTCTCTCGCCCTCCTCATTGGATCCGGAGCCTTCTCCGCTGGGAAAGCTGTAATTAGAGGGTGGATCCCTACAGACAGAGAGCAGCCCCCCCACCCCCCACCCCCCAGTCCCTTCTAACTTTAGATCTCTTCTCTCCCATTCTCCCCTTCTCCCTCCCTCTCCCCTCTCTCTCTCTCCGGCTCGGCTCTCTCCATCTGCCTGGCTCCTTGGGACCCGTTCCCCAGCCTCAGGATGGCGTCCTCCCTGCTCGAGGTAATGGCCCCCTCCTCCCCTTAGGAAACCAGCCACAATCTTCATAATCCTAATTCCTAGCCCCCCACCCAACTCACATAGACAGTAGCTGTGGTGCTTGTCACTTTCAGAGGTCCTTCTGATGAAGAGAGAAGAGTGGGGGTCCGAGAAGTAGAGGCAGAGGGCAGGAGCAAAGGAAGGGGAGAATAGGGGAGGGGTCAGAGGGCAGTGCAAGGATAGGGAGAAGGGACTAGGTCAGAAGGAGGCTGGACCCCAGGGGTCAGCTAAGCACATTGACTGTGAGGAGTGGAAAGGGATGGAGAAAGGAGGAGGAGGAGTGGAGGAGAGGGCTGGGAAGCAGATAAATTGGCAGCAGAGACAGAGGCAGAGAGGACTAGCCACATGGGCATGGAGTAGCAATTGGGTACAGTTCTTTGGGGGTCCCGTCTCTCTCCTGGGACTCCTAGCCTCAGCAGCTCTTGCCTGGTTTGTGTGTGTAGGAGACGAGGTAGGCTACGGAGAAAGGAGGAGGGCATGTGCGTGTGGGGGGGCTGACCAGGGGAACCGAGCCCAGGCCTGAGAGAGAACCAAGGAGGAGGGACAGGGTCTGAGGCCGCCTGCCCAGATCACAAATATTTAGCTTTCAGCCAAAGACAAACTCAGCTCTATTTTGGGAGTGGGAGGCTCCAGGGCGGACTGGGCCACTTCCCCTCCAGGCTGGGACCCCAGTATCCCTTGCCTCTGGCACTGGGGATGAAGGGAACTAGGATCCCATGGGGGTCAGGATTTGGGGTCTGGAGAAATCGCTGACTCTACCAGGGCTTCTGGGGGACCCACAGCACATAGTTGGAAAAGGAGGACTCATAGGCACTCAGAGCCTGAGTTCTCCCTGCTTCTGGGGCTCTGTTTCTCTGTTACCAGCTCTGTCCTGCTTTCTGGGTCTCTCCACAGGAATTTGGGGTCAGAGAGTCCTCCCTGAAGGTCAACCCTTTTCAGTAGCCTTGACTCTTCCCTATTCTTGGGTCCCTCAAAAGCCTCTGCCTCTGTTCATGGTCTTGGGGTGATGGCCAAACAGAAAGCCAACTCATTCAACCTGTAGGAGAGGTGTGTGTGAGACAGAGCAGGAGTCCTCTAACACTTGTGTTCATTGGCCTACAAGTGTTAGGGTGCAGTTGAGCGTGCCTGCAAGCAGCCAGCTTTGGGAGAGCACAGATGCGTGTGTGTGACTGGGCCATCTGAGAGCTGTTAGTCCGAGTGAGGAATGCTGTATGAGTAGGATCCTCAGGTAGTCAGTCTGTGGCTGAGTTTGAGGGATGGCATGCGAGCCAATGGGATGGACTCCGTGCTTCTTGTCATACTCTGCATCCAGCCAGGGGTCTCCAGGTGTTGTACTCTACCTCCCCGCTGCAGTGGGGGCAGACTGTCATCCTGTCATCTCCCCAGGAGACTATTTTGAGCCATCCTTGGAACACTGTGGTCTTGAGGAAGCTGGAGGAACAAGATGCATGGAAATCCTGGGTCCACCCAGGGCAGGGGCAGTGTCAGTGGGCGTGGGCATCATGCCAGCATTGCCAGCGTGGCGCTGGTGCCTGGGGAGGAGCTGGCCCAGAGGCCTGCTAGAAAGACATGAGATTGGGGTAGCGCATGGCAAGAGGAGTGTGTCGTGGAAGCAAGGCTTTCATAGCCCCCTCACTGCCTGAGAACTGGAGATGCCCTCAACACAAAGGCACTCCAGTTCCTCCAGTCCCTCCATCTCTTTACCTAGTTTCGGGGTAACTGGGCCCTCAACTTCCTCTCCACCTCCCAAGGAAACCCTTTGCCTGGTATGGCTGAGTCCTCTGGAAGTGGGAAGAACTTGGGGTTCAGAGAGGAAAGCTGCTGCTGTTTGAGGGGAGGCTCACCTGGGCCAAGTGAGGTGCAGGGGGACAGGCAGGATGGAGGAATGGTGGGGACGAGGTGGGAATGGAGTAGTGGGAAGCTGGGAGAACTAAGAGATGGGAGAAGGCTGGGAAAGTTGAGAACTGGAAACTGGGCCCTTGGTTGCTCAGAACCTAAGGCGAGTGAGCCCTCAGATATATGGGGAGCATCTCACTGGGAGGTCAGGCTAGGCATTGCATTGTGAGCTCCCTGGAAAGAGATCCCCTTCCCCTGCTCTGCGTCTGGGTGGGAGAGCTGGGTCAGCTCCTATATTGTTCTTTCTCCAAAGACTCCCCTTTAATACTTTAAGCCTGTGTCTTTTTTCTTTTTTTTTTTTTTTTTTTTTTAAGGACAGTGGGTAGAGGTGGTGGTGGGAAGGGAAACAACTGGAAGGTGGGACTCCTGGGCCCTGGAAAGGTAATACATTTGATCAGGGATGGGGGCACATACTCAGAACCCTTAACCAGGGCCTGCCATCCCAGTTTTCAGGACAGGGCAATCAGCAAGAGGAGGAAACTGAGGCTGTGGTGAAACTTAGCCATGTGCCCAGCTCTTGGCCTCCAGAACTGGGTTTGAGTGGGTCTGGTGCCTGGCTTCTCCTTCTCTGCCCTCAGGGGCCCTGTGGGCCTCCACTCCCCAGGGCTGGGGTCTCCTGTTGGCCTGGGGCTGGCTGCCTTCTTTCACCCCTCCTTCTCTCCCCACAGCTGGGTGGGGTCCCTGGGCTTGGCTGAGGCCCCTGTGGCCACAGTGTGAGGGCCGGGCGGGGGACGGCGTCGGCGTTTTTAAAAATAAACCGACCGCAGGGAAACCATCGGAGCCGGCTGGGCAGAGGGGGAGGGGGCGGTCAGGGGGGAGGAGAAGGGAGGAGTGGCCTGGTCTGGGGGTTTTCTGGGGCCCAGCACCACGGTGGTTTTGTCTTAGGTAGGAAGTCTGCCTTCTTCCTCTTCCTCTCCCTTCCCTCCTTTCCTCTCTGTTTTCCTTTGTTCTCCTAGCCCGGTCTTTTTCCATCACCTCTCCTTCTTTGTTTATTCTGCTTTCCTCTCTCTCCCTCCCTTTTGTCTTTTCACCTTTCTGCTCTTTTGGGTCCCTGCCCATTTCTGCCTCTTAATGCCAGTTTTCCCTCTCTGGTCCTCCTTTCCTGGTTCCTATGTGGCTATCCTGGTCAGTTCCTCATGCCACGCAGGTCCTTTGTGCCCCATGTCTCTGGGCGTCTGCCTCTCCTTCAAACTCCATGTTTCTACCTCTCCTTTGTGCCCCATCAGCTATCCTGCCTTAGACCACCCTCTGCTTGGAAGATTGAGGCTCCATAGAAACCCCGACTAGGAGAAAGCCTGGGTGTTTACTGTGGCCAGTTTGGAGAAAGCTTTTAGTGGCTCCAATTTGGGAGCCCAGGGGTCAACAGGACCTTACACAGAGGTAACTGGGCAGGAGGAGCAGCAGATTTGCACTTGGGGTGCAGTGCAGGAGTGGTGACTGCACATACTCCTTGCCTCAACCTTAAGGCCCCAGATCTACCTCTAGGATTGGTATCACACACACACACACCACGTGCTAGGAGCTACCAGGCAGGTCTGAGAACCCTGGATTCTTGGGTTGTTTTCCCAGCTGTACTGGGAAGATAGCAGGCATATCAGCTTTTGAGGACCCCAAGTCAGAGAACTAGACAGAGTCAGCTTTTGAGGGGATCTTTTTTTTGGTGGGATTCTCAGTAATGAATGCATGTCAATGCCAGCCAAGGATGCTGGAGGGCATCTTTTCTTTGGAGGTCCTGAGCCTGACCCAGAGAGGGATACCATGAGCTCCTGAGGGGTGGAGATCTTGAGGGTGGTTGGCCTGGTAGCAGCAGCATAGTGGGCTTAAGGAGACACCTTTGCATTTCTAACATACCCCCCATACCCTATATCCCTATGTCTTCCTTCACTCACTGTGCTAGAAGAGTGAAGAGAGACCAGCTATGTGGCTACATGGTGGGGACACTAAGGCATGGAGGGGTGTGGCTGTAGCCAGTATCTTAGCCACCCTAATTCCCTGCCTTGGAGGGGCATGAGGACTTTGGGCTCTTCCAGCCCTCCCAAAGGGGTGCGAGTTGGCACCACAAAGCAGGAGATGCCCACTGCCCGCTTGAAAGACATTCTTGCCTCAGCCACAGTTCTGGCTTGGCGGCAGCCCTGTTCCCTCTCAATGTCTCAGTGTCTCCACGTCGCTTCCTCTTGCTCCCAAGCCCCAGAGTCCCTGCCAAGCGATTCCTCACCAGGGATGTGAGGACTTGACCTCAGGGAGACCAGGCCACTGCCTTAGTCAGGAGCTGAAGCAAAGACAGGAAGCAGAATATGGGGTGAAGCCAGGAAAATCTGGAATGGGGGCAAATACTGTCCCAAGTACTTTGTCTTCTCCCTGTGCTGCTCTTTGAACCTCATCTTTCCTCTCCAAGTCCCTGACCATGGCCTCTGTTTGCTACAAACCCACTTCCAGGGGTCAGGATCTCTAATTCTCACCTCACCCCATTGCTGCCTCTGTCTCTAGCTCTTCAACCATTTAAAAAGAGCCTCATGTTCCTTGGAGGCCCTTTGCACACCCCAGGAACTCCACAACAAGTTGGAGTATCTGGGCCTCTGCTCCCCTTCCATGATTCCACCATAGCTCTGCCCTGATGCCCAGTCCCCACTGGCCCACCTCTTTTACCTCTAATTCCCCATCCATCCTCTTCAACTCTTCCCTGACCGCTCTGTTCTGTTCTTGATGTCTCTAGGTCTCAGTCCTAGAATATTGCCCTTCATTCTATACCTCTCCTCCTCTCTCCCTAAGCAGTGCTTCCCTCTCTCCACAGGAGGAAGTCCACTATGGCTCCAGTCCCCTGGCCATGCTGACAGCAGCGTGCAGCAAATTCGGTGGCTCCAGCCCTCTTCGGGACTCAACAACACTGGGCAAAGCAGGCACAAAGAAGCCATACTCTGTGGGCAGTGACCTTTCAGCCCCCAAAACCATGGGGGATGCCTACCCAGCCCCCTTTTCAAGTACCAATGGCCTCCTCTCACCTGCAGGCAGTCCTCCAGCACCCACCTCAGGCTATGCCAATGACTACCCTCCTTTTTCCCACTCATTCCCTGGACCCACGGGCACCCAGGACCCTGGGCTACTAGTGCCCAAGGGGCACAGCTCTTCTGACTGCCTGCCCAGTGTTTATACTTCTCTGGACATGGCACACCCCTACGGCTCCTGGTACAAGGCGGGCATCCATGCAGGCATTTCACCAGGCCCAGGCAATGCTCCTACTCCTTGGTGGGACATGCACCCTGGAGGCAACTGGCTAGGTGGTGGGCAGGGCCAGGGTGATGGGCTGCAAGGGACACTGCCCACAGGCCCTGCGCAGCCTCCACTGAACCCCCAGCTGCCTACCTACCCATCCGACTTTGCTCCGCTTAATCCAGCTCCCTACCCAGCTCCCCACCTCCTGCAACCAGGGCCCCAGCATGTTCTGCCCCAAGATGTCTATAAACCCAAGGCAGTGGGCAATAGTGGGCAGCTGGAGGGGAGCGGTGGAGCCAAACCCCCACGGGGCACAGGCACCGGGGGCGGTGGTGGATATGGGGGCAGTGGGGCAGGGCGCTCCTCCTGCGACTGCCCCAATTGCCAGGAGCTGGAGCGACTGGGGGCAGCAGCAGCTGGGCTGCGGAAGAAGCCCATTCACAGCTGCCACATCCCTGGTTGCGGCAAGGTGTACGGCAAGGCCTCACACTTGAAGGCCCACTTGCGATGGCACACGGGTGAGAGGCCCTTCGTCTGCAACTGGCTCTTCTGCGGCAAGAGGTTCACTCGTTCCGACGAGTTGGAGCGCCACGTGCGCACTCACACCCGGGAGAAGAAGTTCACCTGCCTGCTCTGCTCGAAGCGCTTTACCCGGAGCGATCACCTGAGCAAACACCAGCGCACCCACGGAGAGCCAGGCCCTGGCCCCCCACCCAGTGGCCCCAAGGAGCTGGGGGAGGGCCGCAGCGCAGGGGAAGAGGAGGCCAGTCAGACGCCCCGTCCTTCAGCCTCACCGGCACCCCCAGAGAAAGCCCCTGGAGGCAGCCCTGAGCAGAGCAACCTGCTGGAGATCTGAGCTAGGTGGAGGGTCTCCAGCCCCAGGGCTGCCTTGCTATCCTCTCTTGGCTCTGTGGACCACTGCTTGCCCCTCACTCCCTCTCCTCCATGCATGCTGTCCTTTGGGGCGCTCTCCATCTCTCCCCTGGCCATTCTGGGCCTGGATATCTCCTTGTATGCCTCCTCAGCTCACCTCTGCCCTTCACCATGGGCTTGGCTATCTGCAAACTGTCATCTCAGGCGTCAACCAGTCCTGATTCCTGTACTCTGGCTTCCTAAGCTCTTTCCTGGCCCCTGCTCACAGCTTGTCTCTGCCTGGCTTTTGCCACACCAATTTGCCTTCCTTCCATTTGGGTTCCCAACACTATTTCTACATCTCACTAACTCCTTGTTTACCATATGCCCTTTCTCCTTCCCAGGCTTATTTACTGCTATCCCTCAGCTTCCAGGTTCCAGTCTTCCCAATTCTTACTCCACTGCTTTCCATTCTCCAGAGCTTTTTTCCTTTATATAAACACAGTGATGATGATGATGATAATTTATTGCCCCCTGGTGGCCTCTTCATTAGAGACCAGAGTTAGAGGGGGATTGGGGTTAATGACCTGGCCAGAAGCAGGGTGCCAAGAAGGGGGCAGACCAGTGGGGATCTGATCCCAAAGATGGGGTGACCCCAGGGTCAGGGAGGCTGCCCCCAGGCCTGTATATTTAACCCCTATGTACCAGGAGTAATGAATAGTAATAATAATAATAATTCTATTTATCTAAGTTATGATGACAGGTCAGGTAGAGTGAGCTGGGGAGGGAAGGGGATCCATTTCTGCTAAGGAAATTCTAGCCTAATGCATCTCTGTATAGACAAAGTATTAGTGGAGATCTTGTTAACAGACTTTCTATTATCAGGGTCTCAGTTAATGGTGTTTCTCTTTTAATAGAGTTTCTACAAATTGGGTTAGTTAACCAGATCTCTGTTAAAGAGTTGATGGGGTATCTCTCAATTAGGGGATCCCTAATATGCCCAGCCCAAGCCAGAAGCTGTGAAACCTCAAGTCCTATGGAGGGGAGAAGGACTGGAATGTACACCAGCTCCCCTGACCCCAGAGCAGGTTCTTCCACTGCCCCTTCCTTCAGACACCATGACCTCATCAGGCTAATACCCTGTTGCCATGGTTATGGAGAGCTTACAGCTGCCATCTTAGACATGCTCTTTGGGGAAGCCCACCTAACAGGAGGACACTGGTTTGAAGATGCCCCTCCCGAAGAATGGGTCTGGAAGACTTTCTCTGGGATCAGATTCAAATAAATCAAATATTTATTGAGTGCCTACTCTGTGCAAGGCACTGTACTAGGCCTGGTGCCTAGAAGCCATGAGAAAGAAGAATTTATAGAGCTAGGAGGACACCCCACGCTGATTTGGAGGTGCATCCATAGGCCCCCAACCTGGGACTTCCGATGCTCCCAACTCCACCTTCAGTGACTTTTAATGCCGCTTAGTGCCTTTGAATGCCTTTCCTGTGACTTTGGATCCTCCTTTTCTGTCCCCTGCTCCCTCAAGGCCCCAAGTTAAAGGGTTAAAGCCGCTGGAGCTTGGGGAGAGGGTAACGTTGTGGAAGGGAAGGGATCATGCCCTTGTGGAGTCTTTTTTTTTAATTTAATAAATAAAAGTTTGATTTGAAAATTTGTTCTGGTGACAAAAGGGAAAGAGGAAGGGCGAAGGGTGGGCCACAGGATTTTTCCTTAGCAAAGTGAGGACTCTCCATGGACGAATATTCTATTGTGCACGTTTGCATATTATGCTCGTGGTAAAATATTTTGTTGGCCATGCTCCCCCTGGCCAAGCCCTCAGGCAGAGTTCAGTTTTGGACTGTCCAGTGCTTTCTCGAGAGCTCGGAAGACGCAGTGGTTTTTCCCCTGGCCCCTTCTCAGACTTTGCACCAACCATTCTTGGTCAGGGCAGGGGCAGGGACCGGGCCCCAGCGCGGACACCGCTGTTGCAGAGCCGACTACAGCGGTGGCCCCAGCCGGGCCGTGCTGCGGCTCCCGGCGGGCGGACCCCGCCTGGCACGTAACCCGCCCCCTGCCCCGGGCCTGCAATCAGTCGTGCCCGCCACGGAGTTAGCGGAGGAACAAAAGCCACTCTGTGGCGGCCATCCCCAAGCCACAATAGGGCTTTGTGCGGCCCCCGCTCCCCAGGGCTCCCCCGCTGGGCTGAGGGGGCGCACAAGCCGCACCCCGGGTCTGGGCCCGATTGCTGGCAGCGCCCTACGTCGGACGGGCCACCTCGCCGGGTTGGAAGAGGCGCTGGAGGCGCTGAAACGGGTGGGAGGGGAATCCCGGGCAGCGAGCAGGCCGGACTCGGTTAGGAGCCCCCTCCCCATCCAGCCGCTACTCCCGCCCCCGCCCAGGTGCGAAATATCCTGCCCTCTGGCTGGGCGCGCTGCTTCAAAGGCGCTTTGAAGAAATCCGAGTTCCCAGGACTTCTTTAGTGGGCTGGGGGCTGTGGCGGAAGAGAGACAGGGGAGGAGGCTGGGGCGGATGAGGGGCGTATGGTGGGGCCTGGAGCTGATCTGAGCAAGAAGGCGGCCCGGAGTGGACCCCCAGGATCTCGCCCCTACCCCGCTAGGATGCAGCTCGGGACCCCCCAGGGTCTGGCCCTCTAGCCTCCGGGTCCCCGCCTGTCCGGTGCCAGCTCCCGCCCGCCGCAGCCTCGCGGTCCTCCCCTCTCCAGCCCCTCGGCCTCTTTCATCTTCTCTAGACTCCGCTTGGGGTTTTTCTGGTTTCTGGGAGATAAAAACCGCTTCAAATAGCGGCGGCGCGCTGCCAGGACAAACAGGGCCGGGCGGGCCATGTGCGCCTGGTTACCGGCCCCGGGCCGGGGCGCCGGGCTTCGGCAGGCGGCAGTCCCTGGAAAGGGGGGCGGGCCGAGCTCCAAGCACCTAGGCTCAGGCGATGACTCCTAAGGCGGCAGCGGGCGGGCGGGGTGCTTTTAGAAGTCTGAGGCAGCGACCTGTGCGCTGCCCGGGTTCCCGCCCAGATCGCAGGGAGCCGTCCTGCGTAGACTGCCGGCTCAGTGTTTTGTTTTGTTTTTTTTTTGAGACAGAGTCTCACTCTGTTGCCCGGGCTAGAGTGAGTGCCGTGGCGTCATCCTAGCTCACAGCAACCTCACACTCCTGAGCTCAAGCGATCCTACTGCCCCAGCCTCCCGAGTAGCTGGGACTACAGACATGCGCCACCATGCCTGGCTAATTTTTTCTACATATTTTTAGTTGTCCGATTAATTTCTTTCTCTTTTTAGTAGAGACGGGTCTCACTCTTGCTCAGGCTGGTCTCGAACTCCTGAGCTCAAACAATCCGCCCTCCTCGGCCTCCCAGAGAGCTAGGATTACAGGCGTGAGCCACCGCGCCCCGCCCGGCTCAGTGTTTTGCCCAGAGCCCTCTGTGCGGTGGGTCACAGTCGTTGTGTGTCCAGGCCGCCGCGCCCCCTGGTGAAGTTGTTGGGGGAGCCCTTGAGGCCTGGACTTGAGCCTCCCCAGACCCTGCAAATTGTGAAAACCATTCAACAAACGTTAACTAAAGCAGTATGGGGGAGAGGGGCAGTACTTGTGCCAGGCCAGGGCGGGGGCAAGGGGCAGAATAGCACTGTTCCTTCTCTCCAGTTCATATTACAGGGTAAGAGGCAAGCACCTACCCTATAATTATAACATAACCTGTTAGTAAAAATCGAGGCTTCATCGAAGGGTGGTGGAAGTTGCAGGCAGGAGTGATTTCTTGGAGGTTATATGGGGCTGGCTATTGTTATGACCAAAATTCAAAAACACTTTGACATTGGGTCCTCAGTGCTGTCCATTAATCTGTCAGTCACTGCCTCCCTCCTCTTTAAACCTGCCTGGCTCCTTTACTCAGGGAGAACTTCCTCAGCCAGGTGCCCCAAACTATCCCCAGTTCATGCTTTATGCTCTTTAAGCTTTCTGCAACTTCCCAGGTGACACTGAACTAATCTACCAAATTAAACTATGCTATGAGAAAGGGTTAGTTTTGAGCCTTGCTACTTAAAATGTGATCTGTGCCGTATCAACTGGGGGGGGGAGTTCTTTGGAAATATGGCTTCTGGGAAATATGGCCTCTGAGTTCCACCCCAGAATCTTCATTTTTAACAAGATCCTCAGGTGATTCCTATGTCCCTGAACATTTGAGAAGTACTAGATTGGAGCAGATCTACCTACCTTCTCAGGTGAGGGGCTTTTTCAGGAGACCTTCTGGAGCCCTTTGTTTTCTGACCTGGGAATAACTCTTTTTTTTTTTTTTGAGGCAGAGTCTCACTGTGTTGCCTGGGCTAGAGTGAGTGCCGTGGCGTCAGCCTAGCTCACAGCAACCTCAGACTCCTGGGCTCAAGCGATCCTCCTGCGTCGGCCTCCCGAGTAGCTGGGACTACAGGCATGTGCCACCATGCCCGGCTGGCTAATTTTTTCTATATATATTTTTAGCTGTCCAATTAATTTCTTTCTATTTTTGGTAGAGACAGGGTCTCGCTCTTGCTCAGGCTGGTCTCGAACTCCTGAGCTCAAATGAACCGCCCACCTTGGCCTCCCAGAATGCTGGGATTACAGGCTTGAGCCACCGCGCCCGGCCTGGGAATAACTCTTTCGGGAAACTTTTCAGGTAAAAAGGAGAGGGGCAGACACAGAATCCAAGAATGCTAGAACTAGAATGCCCCCTGGATTCTTCAATGAGACTGGCAGCTCTTGGGAGTGGGGACTGCCTTATGCAGCTTCGAATTGAATTGCTTCTTGCTTAGAAGTGAATGGCCAGGCTCATGCCTGTAATCCCAGCACGTTGGGAGCCCAAGGTGGGAGGATCCCTTGAGGCTGGGAGTTTGACCAGCCTGGGTAACATAGGGAGACCCCTGTCTCTACAAAAAATTAAAAAAAAATTAGCCAGGCATAGTAGTGTGTGCCTGCAGTCCTAGTTACTTGGGAGGATCACTTGAGCCCAGGAGTTTGAGGCTGCAACAGAAATGACAGAGTTAGGCTGACAGAGCTAGACTCTATCTCTAAAAAAAAGAAAAAATTTGTTAAATGAACAAACCAATGACCAAGGCCACCTAGCTGATAGCAGAGTTATGGCTAATAACCTCTGACAGTTGTTTAGCACTTAACAATTTATTAAATAGTTTTACTTCCATTATTTTATATGGAAAATGTGAAATAATTAGGACACTTTACAAGTGAAGAAACAGAGGCTCATAGAATTCAATGGCTTTTTCAAAGTCATGCATCTGCAAGAAAAAGGGGCCCTCATTCTACCTTAGACTCCAATTCTAGTTCCATAATTTGGAGTTAGAATAAGATCAATCTCACTTTAATTCCTAAGTCAGAATGACTGTTGTGAGTATATCTAGGTCCAACCTCTCTGTGCCTCACTTTCCTCATGGTGATATAACAGTACCCAGCTCATGAGGTTGTTGAAAAGATTACATAAGTGCTTATTGTAACAAGTGCTCAGGAAATGTTACTGCTTTCTAACTGTCCCCACCTCCCCTTCCAGGACACTTAACCCTGTAGGCCCAGGATTCCTGCGGGTGCAGTCCTGTCCCTCCCGAGGTCTCCCCTCTGCCTTTTTTACTCCTGGAGGCTTTTCCTCAGCTTTCCAGCCAGCTGCCTGTGACAGAGCCTGTATTTTCCTCTCGACTATTCACAGGACTGGGAGGGTTTAATTAGGTACTTCCCTGAATGTGGCTTATTTTGGCCTTTCGGAGAGCTGAGAGAGTGAGTGGGAGAAGGTGTTGGGGAATTCAGAGCCGGGAAAAACCGTAGTGTCACAGAAAAAACAAAACAAAACAAAACAAAACACACACAACCCTCTCCGGTCAGCCCTTAACCGAAGGTTGGTCCAGCGGACGTGTCCGCGCTGTTCCACCTCCGGCCGCCAGGAGGCGCGCGAGGAAGCTCAGAAAGTCTGTCCCGGGACTCCGTACGCGTCCTTCTTCCTCGTTATTCTTCGCTTCACTTCCGTTCAGCTTTGCGTCGCTGTTTGTCTCGTGCGGCTACCCGTCCGCATACGAATCTAGCCCGGGAACTAAGAGTTGCAGTGGGTTATGTGCTGTCACCGGCCAGCAGTTTGCTGACTCGAGACGTCCTCCGGACCGACAAGATGTGCTCCCTGGCGTTGTTCCCGCCGCCACCGCCTAGGGGTCAAGTCACTCTATATGAGCACAATAACGAGCTGGTGACGGGCAACAGCTATGAGAGCCCGCCTCCCGACTTCCGGGGCCAGGTGGCTGGGGCGAGGAGGGAGGGGAGCCTGCGGGCATCGGAGGCGGGGGAGGGGAGAACTGGCAAAGGAGGCTGCGTGGTGGGGGCGGGGTCGCAGAGTCTGACGGACTGAAAACGGCGTGGCCGGAGCAGAATAGCAGGGCTGGAACCTATTTTACGGCTGGAATTGGAGTATAAGGGATGCTGAGGAGCTCTCGGGCGGGCCTAGAGGATGGAGAGAAGGGAGGGCGAATCCAGGCAGTGTGAGGCTGCAGGAGAACTATTAAAAAGTTGCGAACAGTATCGGAGAACTGGGAAGGCACGATTCGGAACCTTTTTTCGTGGTTTTCCTGGGAAGGAAATTGAGCGTTTGCTGTGTAAGGCGACTCTGAGTCGGGTGCTTTCTAGAAATGTTTTTTTTTTTTTTTGAGACTCTCACTCTTTTGCCTGGGCTAGAGTGCCGTGGCATCAGCCTAGCTCACAGCAACCTCAAACTCCTGGGCTCAAGCAATCCTTCTGTCTCAGCCTCCCGAGTAGCTGGGACTACAGGCATGTGCCACCATGCCCGGCTAATATTTTTTTTTCTATATAGTTTTAGTTGTCCGATTAATTTCTTCCTATTTTTAGTAGAGACGGGGTCTTGCTCTTGCTCAGGCTGATCTCGAACTCCTGAGCTCAAGCTATCCGCCCGCCTCGGCCTCCCAGAGTGCTAGGATTACAGGCGTGAGCCACCGCGCCCGGCCCTGGAAATGTTTTACTCTTTAATAATCACAGCAAGCCTGTGAGATATTGTTCTGGTTTTACAGATAAGGGAGATAAGACTTGTTTCCCATACTCACAAGCGCTACTTTGTGGAAAAGGGAAACAGGCCTCTGGAGTCTCTTATGCTTAACCCAGTCATGGGTTGGAGATGGCAAGAGTTCAGTAAGGATCTGGGGAAGAGACTGACTCACTATCACACCCCTCACATCTTTGTTGTAGTGGATCAATCTTCCTGTCCTACACCTGGCCAAGGATCCTCTAAAGACCCCTGGGAGGCTGGACCATGGCACAAGGACTGCCTTCATCCATCACCGGGAGCAAGTGTGGAAGAGGTGCATCAACATTTGGTGAGGCATGGCAAAGGATTTCCTGGGCCATGGTCTGCAGATCCTGGAGAAAATGAGGTCACCACCCTTCTGCCTTGGGCTGCTCTTCAAAAGGCTGGTTTTTTTTTCAGGCTCTGTCTTCATCAGTTGTATACCATAAAGCCTATCAAATTATCAGTCCTTATGTGGAACTCAAGGTTGTGCAACGGTAGTTCCATTTCATCTTTCTTGCCTTGCCTTCTGGCTTGAGCATGTGAACTTGCTCCCTGCCCCCACCTCATCATATCCTTACCACTTCTGTTTGAGCTTTTACTTGAAGCTCAGCAAAGTTAGATATAAGGTGGCATTGAATAATCTCATACATAAGTCATTCACTTTTTTTTTTTTTTCTTGAGACAGAGTCTCACTGTGTTGCCCTAGAGTGAGTGCCGTGGCGTCAGCCTAGCTCACAGCAACCTCAAACTCCTGGGCTCAAGTGATCCTACTGCCTCAGCCTCCCAAGTAGCTGGGACTACAGGCATGCGCCACCATGCCCGGCTAATTTTTTCTGTATATTTTTAGTTGGCTGATTAATTTCTTTCTAATTTTAGTAGAGGCAGGGTCTTGCTCTTGCTCAGGCTGGTCTCGAACTCCTGAGCTCAGACAATCCACCCACCTCGGCCTCCCAGAGAGCTAGGATTACAGGCGTGAGCCACCGCGCCCGGCCATAAGTCGTTCACTTTTGCACCTGTAGGAGTGGAACCACACGACCAGGGTTCATTTTTTGGCTGTGCCACTTTTTAGCTGTGTGACCTTGAGCAAATTACTTAATCACTCTGCCTCTCAGTTTCCTCATCTGTAATATGGAGCCTATCTTGCCAGGTTGTAGTGATGATTAAATGAGTTAATAGATGTAAAGCACTTAGAGAACAATGCCTGGCACGTATGAATCCCTTCAACGGTTAGCTACTATTATTTTTATTATTGCCATTATCATCTGTAAGATGAATTCTTAAGAAGTCAGTTGCTGGGTTCAAAAGGTATATTCGTCTGTAATTTTGGGAGCTGTTGCCAAAATAGTCCTCTGTTGAAATTGTACATATATATGGCCCCAACAGAAGTGTATGAGAGTGCCTTTTCCCCAACACATGTGCTATCAAACTTTGATATTTAGTATTGCAGTACAGTTTCATTAGCATGTCTCTGTGTGAGAGTGAAGTTGAACATCAGTTCATTGTCTGAAAAGGCATTTATTCCCGGACTCTTTCTTGCCTCCTGCCTCTCCAGCTGCTGCTTCTCAGCCTTTATGGTGGCTCCTCTTCCTGATATACCTTGAATGTTGGTGTTCCTGGGGTTGTATTTCCTATTGATGCACCAGACCTGGGTGTTCACTTGTTTGACAAATACTCCTGGTTGGATATTCCACTGACTTCATGCTTTCAGCATGTTCAAATCTAATCTCTTCATTTCCCTTTGCAAACCTGCTTTTCCCCTGGGTTTTTCTTTTCAAGGAATGACCATATTTTTCATTCAGGAGCAAGTGGTTTTAGTGTAGGCCCTGGGGTAGACAGACAGTTGAATCCTGACTTTGCTACTTTCTACTTAGGTCACCTTGTTCATATTAATTAACCTCTTCACACCTCTATTCTCTCATCTAAAAATGCAGTGATAACAATACCTGTTTTGTATGGTTGTGATAATGGCCTAATTAGATCATATGAAGTACCTAGCGCAGGGCCTGGCACATTGTAAGCATATTAGTTTAGTACAACCTAGATTAGTTCAACATAGGTACTACAAAAAAAATTAAGGAAAAAATTATCACCTAGATGTTTTCCTTTGATATTACTCTTTTCCTTACCAATGTCTAATTAGTCCTCAAACCTTGTTCTTGCTGGTTCCTAAGTCTCTCAAATCTGTCTCCTTTTCTCCAACGCCGCTGGTTCAGGTCACATTCACCATTTTCTAGATTCCTAAAGTAACCTCTCAACTAATTTCTTTCTATTTTTAGTAGAGACGGGGTCTCGCTCTTGCTCAGGCTGGTCTCAAACTCCTGGCCTCAAGCTGTTCTCTGGCCTTGGCCTCCCAAAGTCCTGGGATTATAGGTGTGAGCCAGCATACCCAGCCCAGATTGATCTTTCTAAAATACTCATGTGATCAGCTTATTCCTTTGCTTAAAACCCTCCCATGGCTTTTTATTTATTGTCTTAGAGCAAGTCCTGACTCCTTGACCTGCTCACAAAGCCCCAGAAGATTTGTGAGCCTTAGTTGGCTTATCTGTAAATGGGCAGAATGCCATTCAGAAGATTAGTGAGATAAGTAAATGAAAGGGCAATATATAGAGCGCCTGGTACATAGTTGGCACTTATTAAATGTGAATGCCTACATTTTTAATACATGTATATTGAATGAATGAATGAAACTTACAGTGACTGAGTTATTAAGAGTAATCTGACTCACAGCTTCCTGTCCTTATCAGGTGTGATATGGGCCTTTTTGGGGTGCTGAATGAAATTGCAAACTCAGAGGAGGAAGGTAAATATTTTCCCTTCCCGCTTTCTCTAGTGGTTGGTATCTCTCCTCCATGTTCTCCTTGAACTCACCTCAACACCTATTTGGCCCAGCCTCTTTCCCTTTAGTGCTGTTTTTCCTGTCATCTTGTCTTCTCCCCTTCTACCTACCCAAATAACTCAGTGTGGGGTGTCTAGCTGGGAAGAAGGACTTGGGGAATGCTTGTCCTTTAAGCTTGTCCTTGCCCAGTAAGAGCCCCGTGAATGGTTTAATCAGAGCTGCTTCCTCTACCCCACAGTGTTTGAGTGGGTGAAGACGGCATCCAGCTGGGCCCTGGCACTCTGTCGATGGGCCTCCTCCCTCCATGGGTCCCTGTTCCCCCATCTGTCTGTAAGTTTGGCCTACTCCCCTATGCCTGCCCCACTTACCTCTTCAGGTCAGGGTTGGGTGTGTTGACTGCATAGGGTGGGAGTGGTTCAGTTCCTCTGTAGGAACATTGAGGGAACGAGCTCCTTTTGTCCAAGTGTGTCCTCTATCCGCTTTGTTCTTACAGCTCAGGAGTGAAGATCTGATTGCTGAATTTGCCCAAGTCACAAATTGGTGAGTGCATAAGCTCTGGGGTTTTGTGGGAAGGAAGGCCCAACCTTGAAACAACTTCTGAGGAAAGAGATGTTAAAACAGAAACTCCTATTCCTTTCCTGACTGCTCACCATATTTATTCCTCCTGCCCCACCCCACCCCCAAAAGGAATACAAGAAAAAGTAGAAAACAACTATTTTCTTGTGGGGAAGGAATCTGAGCCTCTGGGCTGGGGTATGGGTAGGTGCAGGTTCTGAAGTTTCATGCTCACTTTGCCTTAGGTCCAGCTGCTGCTTGCGTGTCTTTGTGTGGCACCCCCACACCAACAAGTTTGCGGTAGCCCTGCTAGATGACTCAATCCGAGTGTATAATGCCAACAGGTGTGTGTGGGTGTACCAGGTGGGCTCTGACTTGTCAATCTCCCCTACCCTCTCTAGCCTTGGTCCCAAGAGAGTCTTGCAGTTCACAGGGCTTCTTCCAGAACTGGGGTCAGGGAAGCTCCATAACTGGATATGTCCTCTTTCTGGACCTAACCTTTATCCTCTCCTTCAGTCCCATAATACCCCTGAGCCCTGGATGGGTCAGCTTTCTTCTCTGTGGCTTTCCATCCTTAACTGCTCTGTGGTCCCCTGAGCTTTAGTGTCCCTGCTTTGACTCAGATCCTTTCACTTCAGCACTATAGTACCCTCCTTGAAACACCGGCTGCAGCGAAATGTGTCGGCTCTGGCCTGGAAGCCCCTCAGTGCCTCTGTTTTGGCTGTGGCCTGCCAGAGCTGCATTCTCATCTGGACCCTGGACCCTACCTCCTTGTCTACCCGGTGAGTCCTGGCAGCCTGTCTTACCTTGGCCTGAGGGTTGTAGCTATGCCAGCGTTAGTGGGTGGCGAGAATGTCTGGAAGTAGAAGTTCTTTGTCCTCACAACATTTCCCAAGGCTATGGGAGAAGCTAATCTAAGGTCAAGGTGGGTTGCTCAGAATGCTCTAATCTAGAGAAAGGGATAGAACTTGGGGCTTTTGGTATTGTGGGGAGAATGTACCTATGGATCATGGGGTGGAAAGACTGTCTTTTTCAGGACTATCAAATAGAGTCTAAAGGAAGGGTGAAGGGAATGAGTACATAAAAGATCAGAAACCAATGAAATTGGAAAAAGAACCCCATGAGAACTAACTAAAAATAAAACCAAAAACTTGTTCTTTAAATTATGAATAAAGGCCAGGTGTGTTGGCTCATGCCTGTAATCCTAGCACTTTGGGAAGCCAAGGCAGGAGGATAACTTGCGGCCAGGAGTTCAAGATCAGCCTGAGCAACATAGTGAGACTGTCTCTACAAAAAATAGAAAAATTAGCTGGGCATGGTGGTGTGCACCTGTAGTCCCAGCTACTCAGGAGGCTGAGGTGGGAGGATTGCATGAACTTAGGAGTTCAAGGTTGTAATAAGCTATGATGAGGCCACTGCACTCTAGCCTGGATGATAGAGTGAGACTCTGTCTCAAAAAAAAAAAGAAAAATTATGAATAGAGAAGAAAATCTTTTGGGCAGTCTAATTATGGAAAAAGAGAAAACCAAAGTACACTATTTTCAGAATTGGAAAGGAATAATAACCACAGATATGGAAGAAAATAGAAGAATTATAAAAGAATGTTAAGTAACACATTTAGGTCAGCAAATTTGAAAATCTGTTTTTTTTAAAGCGAAACCAGCAGATCCAATGAAAATCTAAAGGAAATAATTTGATTTTCTAGCAAAATATAAGTTACCAAAGTGGATTATAGTAGAAATTGGAAATGGAGAGCTCTACCACTAAAAAAGATGTTAGGCTGAGATGGTTTTATAGAGTTCAATCTAATTGTCAAAGAATAGATCTTTGACCTAATAATAATAATCTCTATATTACATGAACTATTTCAGCTCATTCAAAAGTTTGGAAAGCCTTCTGATTATTTTTTCCTTTTAATAAACTTTATTTTGGCAGAATTTTAAATTTGTAGAAAAGTTGCAAAGATAGTAGAGTTTCAGTATATCCTTTACCATTTTCTCCATTGTTAGCATCTTATATTACTGTGTAATATTTGTCAAAAGAAAGAAACTGACTTTGTACATTGTTACTAACTAAACTCCAGACTTAATTTAGATTTCACCAGTTTTTCTGTTAATGTCCCTCTTTCTGTTGCAGGAACCATCCTGATTCATTTTTATAAAGCTAATGTAACCTAAACCTGACTATAGGTAGTACAAGAAGATATATGAACATAGATTTAAAAACCCTAAATAAAATATTGTTAGAGTCCAAAAATATTAAAAAAAATCTGTCAGTTGGGTGCAGTGGCTCACGCCTGTAGTCCTAGCACTCTGGGAGGCCGAGGCGGGAGGATCGCTTGAGCTCAGGAGTTCGAGACCAGCCTGAGCAAGAGTGAGACCCCATCTTTACTAAAAATAGAAAAAATTAGGCGGGCATGGTGGTGCACGCCTGTAGTCCCAGCTACTCGGGAGGCTGAAGCAGGAGGATCGCTTGGGCTCAGGAGTTTGAAGTTGCTTTGAGCTAGGCTGATGCCACGGCACTCTAGCCTGGGCAACAGAGAGAGACTCTGTCTCAAAAAAAAGATGTGAAATTTAATGTACTTCTAATCAGAATTCTGCTAGGTTTTTGTTATTGTGGATTGGACAAAATGATATTTAGAGTTTTTATGAAAGAATAAATGTGGAGGCCGGGCGCAGTGGCTCACACCTGTAATTCTAGCACTCTGGGAGGCTGAGGCAGGTGGATCACTCAAG